GGTTATGTTGAAACTGTCAATGGTATATTTTCTATTTTAATGTTGGTAATCTGTCAAATGTGATTGTCGTGTATTGAATTTAAACTTTCTTGTTTTGAATAGGTTGATTTTCAACAGGTTAAAATGAGGTATTACAACATAAACATATTAACTCCCTACATCAAACACACTGAAAAATATAATGGTACAGAGAGAGCAGCTATTTTTAGAGTTCGGGAGGTTTTCGTGGAGGTGTGTATGGTTGTTTGAGATAGGTATATAGTGGTCTTCTTGTAGGTATAATTTGTTCGTTTAGGCATGTTACATCAGGGCAGTTGTTGAGGAATTTATTAATTTCATAGTTTTCCATTATTTCTAAATAGTAACTTTTATTGATATGATGAAGGATTCTGGAATTTTTATCTTCGTTAAATTCATGTTTTGAGTTAAATGTTAAGTGATTTCCGAAGTTGGAGTTATTTTTGTGTTTATGTTCTCTTATTCTTTTTCTAAGGCTTCTGCCTGTTTCTCCAATGTACGCTGCTTTACAAGTGTCGCACTCTAGTATGTACACACCATTGTCGTCCAGTTTATTTATTTTGTCCTTATTGTTTATAAGCATTCTTTCTAATGTTTTATTTGGTTTGAAATTAAGATTTATATTATATTGTTTTAAACTCTGTTTTATTTTATTGGATATGTTGCCTTGGAATGTTAGCTCTATAATAAATACTTTGATCTTCATTGTGTTGATTCTTTAGAGTGGTACAATTAATCATTTTTTGTTTTTTCATTTATGTTGGTGCTTGCTAAGAGGACAACTAATATCACAGCAATCACATTTATTATTACTCATTTTTAAAGATTATCGAAATTAATAATAAACATTTTAGATGCCGATTGAAGTTCCTCGTCACTACACAGCCACCGATTTAGAAGAAGAACAACGCCTCGCTTATTTTCGGGAAGATATTGGGATTAATTCTCATCACTGGTATTGGCACTTGGTTTATCCCTATTCCGGGAAGGAAGCCAATAAAGATCGAAGAGGAGAACTTTTCTTTTATATGCACCAACAGGTTATTGCCAGGTACAATTTCGAGCGTCTTTGTAATAGTTTGAATCGTGTGTTACCTTGGAGTGATTGGAAAACGCCGATTAAGGAGGCATATTTTCCCAAATTAGACAGCCAAGTGGCGGCTCGAGTATGGCCCGCTCGCATGGAAAATCAATTGATTAAAAATTTAAACAGAGATAACATAAATATGGCCGTCAGTGACTTAATTCAGTGGAACGATAGAATAATAGAAGCAATTGATAGAAATCAGGTTAGAACAAAGGATGGATTGATGGAATTAACCGAAGAAACCGGGATCGATGTGTTGGGGAATATGGTGGAGTCGAGTGTGTTATCGCCGGATCGAAATTTTTATGGGGACCTTCACAATATGGGTCATGCGTTTATTTCTTTGGCTCACGATCCGGATAATCGTTACCTTGAGGATAGTGCTGTTATGGGGGATACAGCAACGGCGATGAGAGATCCAGTTTTTTATCGTTGGCATTCGTACATTGACGGATTATTCCAAAGGCATAAAAATAAATTAAATCCTTACACCAAACAACAATTAGAGTTTAAAGATATAAAAATGAACGATGTCTTCGTGGAAGCCCCTAATGGGGTGAAAAACAACTTATACACATTTTGGCAAAAATCGGATCTCCAATTATCCCGGGGATTAGATTTTCGCAAGTGGGGCTCAGTTTACGCGCGTTTTACCCATTTACAACACCAACCCTTTACTTATAACATCACCGTGACCAACGATACTGGAGGAGAACGCATGGGAACTTGTCGCATCTTTTTGGCACCGCAACAAGATGAACGAAAAGTTGATTTTGTCTTTAGAGATCAACGAACGATGTTTATCGAATTAGATCGATTCACTGTCGCGCGTAAATACTTTAAAAACCTTTTAGTAATTTAATTTTAATTAATTTACTAATTATTTTTAGTCAAACAAGGTCCCAACACGATAAAACGCCACTCCAAGGAGTCCTCCGTTACGATTCCATTCCATAAAACGTTCGATAACGAGACGATTTCTTCAATTACACAATCGGCTCGTTCTGATTACTGTCGGTGTGGTTGGCCCGAACACATGTTGATACCGAAAGGGACCGAAGGAGGGATGAGATGTCAACTATTCGTGATGATTTCCGATTATGAGCTAGATAAAGTAAAGAAATTTTTAATTCACTTATTTTCTAATATTTTTATATTCGTATCTTGTTATTGAAGGTTGGTGAAACAACATCCAGCAACGAATGTAAGGATGCTATGAGTTACTGTGGAGTTAAGGACCGGAAATACCCGGACAAACGAGCTATGGGATATCCATTCGATAGACCGTCTACTTCCACGACTTTAAACAGTTTCCTTACATCTAATATGATTGTTGTAAGCTGCAAAATTTTCTTCAATGACCGTGTGGTGCAACCGCATAAACAACCGTTGTAGAATTGAAGCAAAAATTAATGTTGACGACTTGATTGCGATTAATGGATTAACGATTCATGATTCTTTGTATAATTAATATAATATATATTGTTGTTGTGTATTTAATGAATCCACTTGAAAAAACTTAATAAATGTTATGATATATTTATTTGTTTACCTAATTACCCTCTTCGCACCTTATCCTGTCTGTTATGTTCGAGTGGAGCGAAATAAAACGAAGGATTGACCTTGTGTCGTTTATTTTAATCAGTAACGTCCTTTCCATTCAACATTCATTCGTAATACCAATCAACGATATGATTGGTACAAAAGGAAAAAACACGAAAAAACTAATTACTTATTTCTAAAGTCTGCAAAGTTACCCCTCTTCTTGCGCTATGACAACAGAATAACTTAATTATTATTCCAAGGTAGATTCGTCCACCATTCCTAATTCAAACTCAAAGGAAGCTTCCTTGTCTTTACAGGCCTTGACGCGAGTGCGGGAAGTTAGCCCCCCATTTTCTGATTTTTCATTGTTGTTCTAGAATTGTTCTACATTGTTTCAAAGCGACAAATAGAAAAAATAAAAACTTGGCGAGAAAAACCGAAAAAACGGTTTTTTTGAATAGCCCCACATTAAAAAACTGGAAAACTTGGAAAAACAGATTTTCTTTGTTACTCTAATAGGCGCATACGCACTAATTAAATTTAGAGAAAATTTTTACATAAAACGAGATATGCAAGTATATGTATGAACACAAAGCAAAGAAAATATTTTGATAAATTTTATATTTTGCGTAATTTGAAGTGGAAAATAGCAAGTATTCAAACGAAATAATTTCGCGGCTTTTCTGTGACGTAGGAAGTGCCAGGAAGTGCACAGTCTGAAACAAATTAAATTGTCCGTTAGATAGCGCTTGCGGTGTGACAGTTTCAAAGCAAACCAAGGATGTAACCAAGGTCCGTTGAGTAAACATACTGTATAAGGTTATCCAACTCCCTATGAACGCTGTTGTTATGAACGTATCCCCTCCGCAAAGGCCCATAGACAAAGGCCTTGTTGTGACGTCATTGGAAGAATTGTCATTTCTGTTTTCATTTATATACGTAAACCAATAGAAACTCATAAGCTTTGTTCGTTGGGACTGCACTACTCTGCACGACATGGCACTAGTATGACGTCATAGTGCAATAAAGTGTAAATAAGTGCAATGTCATGTCAACTTATAGTAGACGCCACGAGAGCTGGCAGTAAATCATCATTTTCCGCTCTTACAAATGCCATGCGTAGTTCACAAACCGCTAGAGAGTAATGTGTGTTGGAAAGAGATAGCATTAGTTTAATATGTCTGCTGTACAATTCAAATGGCCACATCGAAAAAGTATGTCTGTTCTTCTAAGGGATGTCATTCTATAATTATAACCTCAAATCGAAACGTCTTGTGAGCGTTGTCATGAATCTGTTAGTGTTTTCACAAGCCGAAAATGCTTTCTTTGAAAGGAAAATCATTAAATAATATCTTTGACAATGTTTGACATATAACCTCCATTACTAACATAACCTACATTTAAATGTATGTGGTGAAATAATCTAAGTCGTACGTCCATATCTTGATTCATACCATTTTTAAGCGATCTGTCACTGCCAGCTCTCGTGGTTTCTACTATTTAGTGCAGGTCAGAAAAGTGTGTAAACCATGGTCGCAACGAACAGATTTTTATAAAAAAAAGTGGACGAACAGGAGATTGTCAGCGAAATACTCGTGGAAAATGAAATCATCGCAGAATGTTTTTTTAGTAGCGGTTCATCAATTATTATTATTTTTTATTTTTTCAATTATTAGCGATATATATTGTTAGGTAATTTTTCAAAATTTTTAATAACGATAATATAAAGTAGGGCGCACTCAAAAACAATGACACTCGTATTAAAAACACTTTATTACGCAAGACGCAATTAGAACAGCAATTGACACGGGGTCCGAACCAAGAATGTATCTTTTCGGAAACCGATAGCGGTTCAAGTGTCGAGGGGCCTTAAGTAAACAAATACCAGGTACACGCTCATTCCCTCTAGACATAAACAGAATGAGCGGGTACAGTCTGTTTCATAAAAATATCAAATTAAATAACAATTCTTAACAATGTTTAAATTAAAACGCCTAATTGCTAACAATATGTATTTTCTACACCAAACTACTAACCCTTATAAGTTCTTTCAAAAGTACTACTTAACGTATAAAGAAATCACATGCTAAATTGCACCAAAATCGATAGAAGTACTTGCAAAAAAAAAAATTTGGGGTGCTGAGGGTAGTTAACCCCAGCCACCCCTAAATGAGAAAAAGCAGTTAATTAATATTTTTAAATATACTATAAGTGTATTTAATGCCGCCAAAATCGACAGGGTAGTTTTTAAATTATTCCAAAAAAGTAGGGGTAGTTTTCTACTGCCTCTACTGGGATTGAATATATTGTGTTCTCTAACACAACAAATATTAATTATTATAAGGTTTTATTTCTTAATATTAATATTAATTACTTATTGAACTTAATCGAAAGCAGGTGCAACAAAATCTGCACTAACTTGCACCCGCTGCACGAAATTGCACTGCGCATGGCCCAACGAACAGTATGAGTGCAACTGCACTAAACTACACTATCCCCAACGAACACACAACATCTTCACTAAACTGCTTAGTGCAAGTAGTGCAGTCCCAACGAACAAAGCTATAATTTCTTGAGTTTAATAACACTTGTTGAATTTTTAAATAATTATTAACATAAATATTATTATTATATTATATTAAATTTATATTATATTATATTATGTTATATTTTTCCTCCAATGACGTCACGTTTCCCACCTCACCCCGCCAACGTCAAGTTGTTCGAGTTGGATAACCTTATAACCAATACTCAACGGACCTTGGGATGTAACAACGTCCGTTGAGTATTGGTTATAACGTTATCCAACTCGAACAACTTGACGTTGGCGGGGTGAGGTGGCTCATCACAATATGCAATCGGAGCAGTATTAAGTCATTTAATAGATGGTGAAGAACGTTCAATTATGTTTGCATCATGTACATTATCGAAAACAGAGAGGAACTATTCTAAGATTGAAAAGGCAGCAAGAAGTATTTTTTTTTTTCTGATGCACTACACATTATTGGCTTTAGGTGTGGTGAACAAGTTGCTTTGAAAGTATGTTTTGAAGCTTAACTAGCTCTTCAAAAAGGAAAAATAAAATTAACTCCCAAAATAACTCAGTTTCATATGGATGTAACAGGTCAGCAACGACAAAATGTTAAATTGGCTGCTCAAGTTATCTCCCGCTTGTTGCTCAGGCAATTAAATGATGCGGTGAAAAAGGCCTTCTGTCAAAATTCAAGTGGCAGTATACACATAAAATTGTAGGACTCTTTAATAATTGGTTTGATGTGTTTAACTCAAACATGAAATTCTCAAAACAGTCTAACGCATTTGGAGTAGATTTGGAAAAACAAATGTGGTTGCTTGAAGCTGTTAATGAAAATATATCACTTTTGCCATTTCAAAAGGCATTTCTATTAAACAACAAGTGTTTGCTAAAATTATACCATTATTTAAAAAAGAAATACGATATAGAATACATTTTGACTTATCGTTTGAATCAAGATGTACTGGAAAGCTTGTTCTCAAACATCCGAGGAGCCGGTGTTATTAATGACAACCCAACAGCTCTCGAGTACCAACATCGAATAAGATGGTAATACCAATTGTACCTAGATCGAGAAATAAATATTAACAAGCAGGAATTTTCATGGACACATACATTATCAAAAGGACACCTGTTATATGCAAAAGAAGAGTTGTACATATTGGTAAAAGAGATCTGGCAAGCATTTAATAAATATCATGGAAAATCGTTGTCAAGGAACCATTCATTTTTAAAAGGGTGGCGGATATGGTTAGTGTCAATGTCATTTGTGTCAAACTGACATAAAGATTAAAAATTCGCAACTTTAAACATTAATTTTCAAAGAATCAACCAAAGAAATATGGGAAAATACATTCCAAATGAACTGAAAGTTTGGGTAATATCAATTAAAACGGTTATAATCAAATTAATAAAAATAGAAATTATTTTTTTCCGTCTAGACATCTGTTAACCTCATCCTGTTGTCTGGCCAAATATCAAGAAAACAAATTTTTGGGGTTATGATGGCACAATTAACTAACTATATAAAGAGAAGAAACTTTCATCATTTGACTAAAATCGTTTTAGTACACAAACACTAAATAAACCAAAAATGGCAGAAAATCTTCTTTTATTATACGACCGTCCTTTCGAGCCATGTTTTCTTCCGAAAGGACTTGGAAAGAAATCGTTTAAGGTGCCTCCACATCTAATGGTAAGAAAATAGAACTCATTCTCCAAGAATCGGACTGTTGTTTTTGATTTATGTTAATTTATGATTTATTTAATTTAATGTTAACTTTTTAGCCTGAAAGATATCAAGCTATTCCAGAATCGGTGGTCAATGATATCGGGCATGAATATGTAAACGATAAAATAAATGTAAAAGACATTTCCTTTCCGGATTCGGTCCAATTTAGAGAAATTTTAGCGTTTCCCCGACAATCTGGATTCTCTCTTTTTATTCCGAAGCACAGAGAAATTGCCGGGAATTTAATCCAAATTTTTAGAGGTACATATTAATTAAGATTACAATTATTTAGAAGCGTAATCATTAATAAATTGTTAGGAATGGTATCCATTGATGATTTGTTAGCAATTGCCGTCTACACAAGAGATAGAGTAAACCCCTACCTTTTTAATTATGCTCTTTCGGTTGCTTTAATACATCGTCCAGATACGCAACATCTCGAATTACCAGCTTTTATTCAATCGTTTCCATATAAGTTCCTCGATGGTAGGGCTTTGCAAAAAGCTAGCGAAGAAATCAGCGTTGTACCAGATGAGTACAAGGTAAATAAAAAAATAAAGGTTTTAAAATACGGGCGCCATAATGGTTCCTACTTACCAACCCAACCGGTTACGATAGAAAGTCACTATATTATAACAAACATTTTAGATTCCAATTGAAGTTCCTCTCACCTACACCGCCACCGGTTTAGAAGAAGAACAACGTCTCGCTTATTTCCGTGAAGACATCGGTGTTAATTCGCACCATTGGCACTGGCACTTGGTTTACCCCCACTCAGGAAATGAAGCGAATAAAGATCGAAGAGGAGAACTTTTCTTTTACATGCATCAACAGATCATTGCCAGGTACAATTTCGAGCGTTTCTCGAATAATTTAAATCGGGTTATTCCTTGGAGCGACTGGCACACGCCGATTAAGGAAGCTTATTTCCCTAAATTAGACAGTCAGGTGGCGGCTCGAGTTTGGCCCGCTCGCATGGAAAATCAACAAATTAGAAACATAAACCGCGATAATATAAGTGCAACCATCGGGGAATTGATTCAATGGAATAGTAGGATTGCGGATGCGATTGATAGTGGGGAGGTTAGAACGAAGACGGGATTCATGAAGTTAACGGAAGATAGTGGAATTGATGTTTTAGGAAATATGGTCGAGGCGAGCGTGTTATCGCCGAATCAAGATTATTATGGGGATCTTCACAATATGGGGCATGTGTTTATTTCGTTGGCTCATGATCCAGATTTTCGTTACCTTGTGAGTCATTTAAACAATTTTTGTTGATTTACTTTAGATTGATTAGATTATTTAGGAAGATGCTGGAATTATGAGCGACACCGCAACGGCGATGAGAGATCCAGTTTTTTATCGTTGGCACGGACATATTGATGAGGTGTTCCAAAGATATAAAGCTACATTGAATGCTTACACAAAAGATCAGGTAAAAAGCAATTTTTCAAATACAGAGTGTCCCATATAAGCAACAAAGTACATAAATGGCATCAAGGAGTTAAAGTTGTAGGAAATTTAGCACACTATAAACGGAAAATATTATTATGCATACAGGCTGTTCCATAATGACGTATTGAAATAAACATACGTTATTTTAAATGGAATGATATAGTTTTTATTCCGTATTCTGATTCTACACACAAAACTAAGTTGACTTTGATAAGACATGTAGATCCCTAGTGCTTTTAGTTTTTGAGTTATTTTAATTAGAAGCTTTTTTAGCAATTAACACTGTGTCCCCAAATCAGAATTTCTTAGCGACTGATCGAGCTAGAAAGTTAAAATTCGTGACAGTTGCTGCTTGGATATGCTTAAATAGAGTGCCATTGGTTAGATCGGTCTATCTTATACAGGGGTGTTCATAAATATAACTACTGTTTTACCATATTTAATTTAAAAAAAGGCGAAAATTTTAAATGGAACATCCCATATTTGATAAGCTTATCAGCTAGAGAATTTAATTCTCTACAAGTCATCAGTATATGTCCCTATACCTATCTGTTGCAGTTGTTGAGATATAGCGGAATGAATCAAAATTATGCAAAGAATAGCAGATCTTATTCATTTTTTTGGCCATGAAATACAGGGTGCCCGGAAATTGCGTTCATATATTTAAAGGTGTGATTCTACATAAAAAATCATGAAGAAAAGTTCATATAAAGGTGTGTCCTAAAATGCTTCCTAAGGGAGGTAGAGCGCTTTGAAGAAGATGTTCAATATGAGGTTATCTCTCATTATTTCAAAAACTAGTAGGGTTAGAAACACGAAATTTTGCATATCCAGCTATTTTTACGGGGCGAATACGATAATCGAATAAAAAATTAGAAGGAATGTGCAGTTGCGGAAATAAGGGATAGGGGGCGCAATTTATTTCCCATATTTTTTTTTGCTTTGATCTTTTCACTATTTTAACCTCAAAATTAGAATCTACGGAAAAAATACATAAAAAATGTTCTGCTTATAAAATGGTCTACGACCACTCGTTTTCAAGATAAATGATACTAAGTAAAATACTGCACACAAACATGTGTATTAAACTATCACTAAAAATCTTAATAGGGTTCTTTCATTGGTTTGATTTAAGCTGTCAAATGGGTGATAAAAAATTTCTTCGTACATTGTCTACAAAATTTTTTTCCAATCATGGTTAATTTTATCAAAATGATTCAAAAGATGATTATTACTAATTTTTCATAATAACTTAAAATTTTACCAAAACCTTAAAAAAACAATCTAAACAAAACGTATTAACAATTTAACAAAAATAAAAAGTTTAACTTAAAACATTAACAAAAAGCACTTAAATTTTTAACAAATAACACCAAAAAAAGTTATAAGAATTGTTCAAAAATTCCACCATCCATGTCAATGCAACATCTCACTCGTTTAATTAATGAGCGTCTTACTTTCCAAAAAATACCTTGTTTGTTTCGAATAGTGTTACAATCGTCCCTTACACGTTGTTCTAGCTCTTCGACATTGCTAACTGGTGTTGCATACACTAAATATTTAAGATAACCCCAGAGAAAGAAGTCTATGGGATTTAAGTCTGGCGAACGTGCGGGCCATGCTACGGGCGCTCCTCGACCTATCCATCTTTCACGGTAGGTTTCATTTAAATATTGCCGTACTTGAACGCTGAAATGAGGAGGAGCCCCATCATGCATAAACCACATTTTCCTTCGTGTTTGATACGGCACTTCTTCCATCAGTTCAAACAAGGTATTTTGCAAAAAGTTAAGATAAGTTGTACCGTTGAGACGGTTATCAAGTACATGAGGACCAATTAAATGATCCCCAATAATACCAACCCATACATTAATAGAAAATCTTTCTTGATGTTTCGTGGCTAAAACATTGTATGGGTTTTCATCGACCCAAACATGGATATTATGGAAGTTAATGACGCCATCTCGGGTAAATCCAGCTTCATCGGTAAACAACACTTTTTCCGGAAAATTTCTGTCATGGCGCCATTGTTCCATAATCCAACGACTGAACTGTAGTCTTGGGATGCTATCGGTGGGTTTTAAGGCCTGCACCTTTTGGAAATGATATGGATGCAGTAGCTGATCTTTAAATACCTCCCAAACGGTGGTTTTCGGCACATTTTCTTGTACCGATAATCTCTTAGTGCTTACCGTAGGATTGATAGCTACTGCATCGAGCACCCTTTCTTCCACTTCTACAGTCCTCGTAGTGCATGATCTTCCACAGTCGTAACGATTTTCCTTAAAGCGCCCAGTTTCACACAATCTTCTATGAATAGAAGCGAACGTTTGTTCACAGGGAAGTTGTAGGTTTGGATATCGTTCTGCGTACAACCTTCGTGCTTCTCTGGCATTTCCATCAGCTCTACCGTACGTAAAGTGAATGTTTGCCATCTCTTCGTTTGAGTATTGAACCATTTTGATTTAATTAAACGTAAATTATAATGGTTGTTGCACTAAAATAATTTTTTATTGACCGTTTGACAGCAAAGATCAACAAATGAAAGGAGCCTACTAAGATTTTTAGTGATAGTTTAATACACATGTTTGTGTGCAGTATTTTACTTAGCATTATTTATCTTGAAAACGAGTGGTCGTAGACCATTTTATAAGCAGAACATTTTTTATGTATTTTTTTCCGTAGATTCTAATTTTGAGGTTAAAATAGTGAAAACATAAAAGCAAAAAAAAATATGGGAAATAAATTGCGCCCCCTATCCCTTATTTCCGCAACTGCACATTCCTTCTAATTTTTTATTCGATTATCGTATTCCCCCCGTAAAAATAGCTGGATATGCAAAATTTCGTGTTTCTAACCCTAGTAGTTTTTGAAATAATGAGAAATAACCTCATATTGAACGTCTTCTTCAAAGCGCTCTAACTCCCTTAGGAAGCATTTTAGGACACATCTTTATATGAACTTTTCTTCATGATTTTTTATGTAGAATCACACCTTTAAATATATGAACGCAATTTCCGGGCACCCTGTATATGCATTTGACAGCTTTCAAGTGATATCGCCATAATTATTTGTAATTTCACAGGTGGTAAGCGTTGACTTGATCCAAATTAAATAAAACAAGTTAACTAAATGTCATATCTTTATTAATAGTCTAGTTATTTATTGGTTAATGCTTGATTATGAATTACACAAAAGACGAATTTGTGAACATGGTTTCTATTATTGCTCAAAGAGTACTAATAGAGTAGTACATAGATTTGAAGATATCGGAAGTGTCGACATACCTATCCGTCGAAAAAAGTCGTATGCAGTTCGAGAAGAGAACAACGAACGTTTTATCAAATTTGCAGGAGAATCCGCATGTGAGTACACGACAGATCGCTAGAGCAACACATATGAGTACAAGCTCACTAAACTGAATTACAAGGCTTCACAACTACCACCCATATCATTTGAATACACCAAGAACTTCATGGAGATTTTGCTAACAAAGTAACTTTCTGTACGACAACTTTAGATGAAATAAATGAAAACCCTTGTTTCGTATCATCAGTTCTATTTAGTGATGAAGCTACTTTTAACAGCAACGGGTTGTAAATCGACATAATATGCATTATTATGCAACCGAAAATCCTCATCAAAATGTATGGTCGTTAAATGTTTGGGGCGGAATATTTAACCGTAAAATAGTTGGACGAGTTGGTATACTCTGGACAAATTTACAAAACATTTTTAGAAAAAGAGTTGCCAGTGTTGCTAGAAGATGTAGATTTAGAAACTAGACAAAAATGATATTTCAACACGACGGGGCACCTGCATATTCTAATATATCTAACTCACCGCCACTTCTTCATTTGGGAATATCTCAAAACCGAAGTTGTACGCTAATATTCCAACGACGAAAGAAGATATGAAGAATAGAATGAGGGAAAGCTTCAGAAATATCTCAGCTGAAACAATAGATAATTGGCAAGCTGAATTCGTAAATCGGCTTCATTTATGCATAAAGTTTGATTGAGAATTATTTATCGTCTTATTCCATGGCCTACTAAGGAAAACATGAATAAGATCTGCCATTCTTTGCATGATTTTGATTCATTTCGCTATATCGCAACAACTGCAACAGATAGGTATAGGGACATGTACTGAAGATTTGTAGAGAATTAAATTCTATATCTGATAAGCTAATCAAATATGGGGTGTTCCATTTAAAATTTTCGATTTTTTTGCAATTAAATATGGTACAACAGTCGTTACATTTATGAACACCCCTGTATAATATAGACTGATGTAACCAATGGCACTCTATTTAAAGATATCCCAGCTGCAACTGTCACAAAGTTTATCTTTCTAGCTCGATCAGTCGCCAAGAAATTCAGATTGGAAGGGTAAAAAAATAATACTAAAAATACTAAATACTAAAAGCACTAGGTATAAACATGTCTCATAAAAGTCTACTTAGTTTTGTGTGTAGAATCAGAATACGGAATGAAAACTATATCGTTCCATTTAAAATAACATATGTTTATTTCAGTACGTCGTTATGGAACAGCCTGTATATGTATACAGGGTGTATCTGAATGACTGCAACAAACTTCGAGGGGTGATTCTTTAGTGAATTTAAAGGGTACTTTCATATATGAACCATGGGCGACTTCGGATCCCCTGGGGAGCTACGCCCCTCCAAAAATGGCGGAAAATTTTGGTTTAATTTTTTTTTCTCAAAAGCCATAAACGCTAGGAAAATGAAATTTGGGGAATATGTTTAACTCATAATGGGGCACGTTTTGACCCTATTTGTACTTTTAGCCTACCCTTCTAAACTACTAAACGTTTACATTTTTGCTAACATTTTTTGTATGCAGATGATAAATACATTAGAAAAATTTTACATAGCTAGATGAAAGTATCCTAAAACATTTTTGTCTCTTTAAAATTTTCTCAAAAACGACTAATTTTTGAGAAAAAAAATAATAAAGAAAACACTGCCCGTTAAACAACGGGGTTGTCGATCAAAAGTTGGAAAGAATTTTTAATGAAAAAATCTTAGTGGGCTTTCCAATCTTTATCAGAAATATTTTTGACGTTTAAATGTCAATGTTTTTCTTAATATTATTATTGTTTTTCAAATTAATTTTTGAATAAAGTTCTATCGCATTTAGGCTCAAAATTTTAAATAAAATAATAATAATAGTAAGAAAACCACTGACATTTAAACGTCAAAAATACTTCTAACAAAGATTGCAAAGGTTACTAAGGTTTTTTCATTAAAAATTCATTCCAACTTTCGATTAACAACCCTACAGCTATTTTTTTTCTCAGAAATTATTAAATTTTCGAAGAACTTCAGAACTTTCTTTTAGAATAGTTTTACCTATCTAACTGTAATTTTGCCAATGTATCATCTTCATAAAAAAAATCTAGGCATAAATTGAACGGGGGTGGTTACGTTTAGTAGTTTAGAAGGGTAGGTTGAAAGTACAAATAGCATCAAAACGTGCCCTATTATGAGCTAAACATATTCCCTAAATTTCATTTTCCTAGCGTTTATGGTTTTCGAGAAAAAAAAATTTAACAAAAATTTACCGCCATTTTTGGAGGGGTGTAGCTCGTTAGGGGAGCCGAAGTTTGTTGCAGTCATTCAGATACACCCTGTATAAAAATATTTTCCGTTTATAGTGTGCTATATTTCCTACACCTTTTGTCCAAGAAAGAACTGCATATCTCGGCTCCTTAATGCCATTTATGTACTTTGTCGCTTACGTGGGAGACTCTGTATATGCGTACAATTATGTTTTGTTAATTTTCTTTTTAAATCCTTTCATGTTTTTAAGAAATTAAGGATTTTTTTAGATGGACTTTAAAGGTATAAATATAAACGCAGTTTCTGTACAAGCTACAGATGGCGAAAAAAATAATTTTTACACATTTTGGCAAAAATCGAGCATCCAATTATCGGGTGGCTTAGATTTTCGAAAGTGGGGGTCAGTTTACGCGCGTTTCACCCATTTACAACACCAACCCTTCACTTATAACATCACAGTGACCAACAACAGCGACAAAGAACGTATGGGAACTTGCCGCATCTTTTTAGCACCGAGACAAGATGAACGGAAAGTTGATTTTGTCTTTAGGGATCAAAGAAAGATGTTTATCGAATTAGATCGATTCACTGTCACTCGTAAATACTTTAAAATCTTTTTAGTAATTTAATTTGAATTAACCTAATAATTATTTTTAGTCAAACAAGGTTCGAATACGATTAACCGCCTATCATCGGATTCCTCCGTTACAATTCCGTTTGATAAAACATTCAAAAATTATAACGAAGCAAATCCACCTGCGCAATCGGCTCTTTCCGATTATTGCCGTTGCGGATGGCCTAATCACATGTTAATTCCGAAAGGAACCGTGGGAGGACTTCATTGTCAACTTTTTGTTATGATCTCCGATTATGAGATAGACAAAGTAATTTTAATACACTTATTTATGTAATATTTCGAATTTATTTGTTGTTGTTAAAGGTTGGGGAAACAACATCGGGGGAGTGTAAGGATGCAATGAGTTACTGTGGAGTTAAGGACCAGAAGTATCCCGATAAACGAGCTATGGGGTACCCCTTCGATAGACCGTCTAATTACCAGACTTTGCAGACATTTCTTACATCTAATATGATTGTGCAAAATTGCAAAATTTTGTTTCGCGACCAAGTGGTGGAATGACACTAAATTTTAGTGCTTTAATTTGAAGAAAAATTAATAAACATGATTGATTTATATCGACGACTTCGGCTATGATTTTTGCGTTTGAATTATTAATGAATAAAATCTGTTAAATATTTATTTCGTTTTATTAATAATATACACAGAAAGAAAAGATTGGGTATATTTAACTAAACATTGGGCATAATTATCTAGAATTTGTGGTTAAAAATTAACCTAACAATGTTATTAGTTGATGTAGATATTTTCAAATAGTTGATTTACTTTGTCGAATATTTAGAAGATTTGTTGATAATATACTTGAAAGAACTAATGTTCTAGTGGTGACTGTTTCTAATTATGTATTCATTTGATCTACATCTTTAGATAGATTGACTAAAATAGAATGAATGATTTATCTTAAATGTAGTAAAGCCAAAAGAAATGGATTAGCTATTATCACAATTCCTTTAGATGAATTATCTAATAATTTATTGTTGATATGTCTAAATAAGTAGTAATTCCAACTACATTTATATATATGTTTCTGCTAGGTTTTTTAGTTATGTTACCTAAATTATATAGATAAATCTTTACATAATATTAGATAATATTACTAGAATTAGTAGATATATTTTCTACTATACATTAGGTATAAGTACTATTGTTGCTGTCATTTTAGGTATAAATAAAAGAAATGAAAACTGTATTTAAATGATTTATTTAATAAAATAAATACAGGAAATATAAATAAATAAATAAAATTGTTACATTTACATACATTAAAATGTTACATATTGTTCTTTCCACTGAAACAAACATTTTCTAAATTTTATTCGTTGTCCAAATTTATCAGCAGGTATTAGATTGTCAATATCGGATATGGTCAATTCTTTAAAAACCTCAATATCAATCTTTTTAGCTATAAATAAATCACAAATTTAAACATTTCTAATCTGTTGTTAACCAGTTTACAGGTTGTCTTATAAAAATACCAAGCGGTATCGTTTCTTTGTTAATTTCATTCAAATACACATACCTATCTGATATTCGTTATGGAAAATTCGTATACAATCATCAAACTACCGACTTTATTGGATAACTCAACCAATCTTGTGAACTAATTTTACTAATGGGTAAATAGATAATCGAACTAATTTTTAGATAAATGATCTATTTGAAATAAACTCAAGTCCGTAAATGATATTTTTATGTAGGTTTAACAAGTTAAATAATATTCATAATCAGATAGTAATTATAATAAGAAAAAAAATGCTTGGATTGGTTTTTATAAACAACCTGCATAAGGGTACGAACACGTAGAACGCTGATTCGTGCTTTTTGTAAGCGCTTGTGTGCCAGCGCAAGTAATCCAGATAAATCCTTATGGCCTGCGTATGTCTGGAGATAAAGCTATATTATACTGGCTTGATGCATTTTATCAACAAGCGCTTGCAACCAGCGCGAACCAGCGTTCTACGTGTTCGTACCATACTACATATTATATTATAATGAAATTCGTTTAAACAGAAATATTACTCTGATGATCTACCGACTTTAACTAATAATTAATTTTACTTACCTAAAAAATCATCAATTAGGTCACCTAATCCCCATTCCACAAGCAATGAACTAACAACGTCTTCTTGCACGACCGCTTCATTAACTATTTGATCTGCCATTATAAATATGTATAAAATGTGGACGCACACTACCTCGTATTTCGCAGTTTCAATTGTAACTGAGCCAATCCGAACACTTCGTTGTGTACACGTGTTGAACACGTCAGAACACGACTAGAACACTGTAGCCGTAAAGGAAAACATCGGGCAAGCATTCTTAAAATCTAACTAGTTTAGGCACATGATACAAAGATTAGTTATCTTTTCAATTCATTACTAGATATTTAATACGAAAATACAACTACTACATTAGACAACATTAGGTAATTTTACCATGTCAATAACGAATGGTCTATATTTCTATTTATACGTAAATTTAACTACTTTCTTTGTTTATTTATGCCAGACTACTTTAGTAATCAAACTTCTGTAATCAGTTTTTAGCCTCCTATAAGCAATATTTAATCTCCTCCAGGCAGTATCTAGTCTCATACAAGCAGTATTAGTTTCTACAACCAATAGGTTGTTTTCTGCAAACAGTATTTCATATTTTGTAAGCACTTTTTAGTTTCCTGCAAACAGTATCTAGTCTTCTGCAAGCATTATTAACTTCTGCGAGCAATATATCGTCTCCTGCAAGCAGTATCTGGTCCCATACAAGCAGTATTAACTTCTGCAACCAGTATTTAATCTTCTGTAACCAGTATTTAACTTGCTACAAGCCACTTTTAGTCTTTTAGGAAGGAAATTGTAAAATTGGTCAATTTAAGTGACACGGTTTTAATTAAAACTCTATTTTTAACTGAAAAAAATTTGCTTTTCTGCTAAAAAAATATTTTAAATCAAATCGTTTTGCGAAATAGGTAAAGTTTGTCTTCTACAAACTTGTATAATCATTTTTTAGTCTTCTGCAAGCAATACTTAATCAAATCGTTTTACTTTAGTTGTTTCTATAAACAACGAAATCTTTAGTTAATACCTCTAGAATAAAACTCATTTATAAATAGATTTACATGTAAAGTTATTATTTTGCATTGTGGTTACTTCGCGCACATAAACATAAACAATTTTTCCATTCACTTCCGGTTTATACAGGATGATTCAAAAAACCACTGACAGACTTCTAGGGTAAATAATACATTAAAAATTAAGATGAAAAGTCTTAATATACATGGGTCTCTTACAAAACTTTAATCAAAGCAATAGTTTTTAAGAAAAACACGTTTGTAGAAAATTTGTTAATCCAATCAAAAAGTGTTGCTTTAATCATAGTTTTGTAAGAGACCAATTGATAGATAACTGATCACTTTACACGAAAATACTGCCCGTTTGACAAAATTAGCAGTGGCATTGAAAATATTTTTAAAAAAGGGCTTTTTATTGTAGATAATGTTTAATTTTAGAGAAACTTTGACCCGCTATATCTCGTTAAGGAGGCATTTGCGACCTTATGTATATTAAGACTTTTCATATACACTTAATTCTGTTTTTACGCGACAGATACGTTCCCAATAAATTCGCGTAAAAGAAAATCGCGTAAAAAAAGATACGGTATTTATGTAAAAATACGGGATAGGTTCCGACATTTGAAGAATCGGTTAAAATGTTATGATTAGGAAAGATAAATTCGGTTACTTTAATGTGCTTTTATTTAATAAAACTTATTTAAAAATAATAAATAATTCATAAGTTGAATAATAATAAAATAAAAGTAAAGAAAAAATCATTATTTAGTGAAAAAAACGAAAATTAATTTCTAATTGCTATCACTTTTCGATGCGCTTTCCTTCTCAAGCTGTGCTGCCGCGTTAGTGGTTCTAGTCACAAATTCTGTTATCGATCGTTGTGTTCCAGGTTTGATAAGGCTGTTATACAATTCACGATAACTGCCCATTAATAATTTAATGTCTCTTTGAAATTTTGTAGATCTTTCTTCAATAGGATCATGCTTTTGAAAATGATCGCATAATTTAGCAGCGAGTTGTAGTTCTTCTTTGATTATATCTGCGGTAAGGGTAGGAATCTCTTCGTCAATTTCACTGCATTCTTTATCATCGGGAATCTCAAGCGCTAAACTAATGATTTCATCATCAGTAAGTGCTTTATCCTCTAGTAATTCATCGATATCTGCAGACGATATATCAGCAAATCCTTCTCCGCCTATTTCATGAGCTAAGGCTGTGATGTTAGGGTATTGATCCATATTAGAAGGCACATGATCTTTATTTTTTACACATTCTGGCCAAACAGATCTCCAACATGCGTTCAAAGTTGATGGTTTCAATTCGGATAGTGCTAATCCAGCATGTTTGATGCAGTCATTTATTATAAAGTTCTTCCACGCGTCAATGACCGTTACATTTTTATTATTTGTTAATTTATCTAAAATGTATCGAAATGTTTGCTTTACGCAATAGGTCTTAAAGGTTGCAATAATTCCTTGGTCCAACGGCTGTATCAAGGAGTATTTGGAGGAAGAAAACAAAATTCAACATTCGGGTGCTCTATGTGTGGGTGGCCAGGTGCGTTATCTATAATCAGAAGAACCTTAAATTCAAGACTTTTATCGCTCATATAGCGACGCACTTCTGGGATAAAATGTTTGACAAACCATTCATTAAAAATTTCTCTAGTTACCCAGGCTTTTTTATTAGCTGTCCAGTGTACTGATAAGGTATCTAAATTTACACCTTTCATAGACCGTGGTTTTAGAGCTCAATTAACAAACAAGGGTTTTAACATTCGATCTCCAGACGCATTAGAGCAAAATAAAAAGGTTACGCGATCTTTGGCCGCCTTGAACCCACTGGCAGTTTTCTGGGATTTAGCTACGTATGTTCTATTTGGCATACGCTTCCAGAAAAGGCCTGTTTCGTCCGCATTCCATACCTGATCTGGAGTGTAACCACCTTTTTCAATTATTTTAGCCAGTTTTGCTGGAAATTCCTTAGCTGCTACATCATCTGCAGATGCAATTTCACCCTTTATCTTTATATTATGTAACGCGTGTCGTTGTAGAAAACCATTCATCCATCCCGTACTAGCAGAAAATTCAAATTTTCTTCTTTTCTCGGCTGATGTTTGTGGTTCCGCTTCTTTAATCTGGTTGTAAATCTTTAATGCCATTTGCTCGATGTTATTTCCGTCAACGGGTATTCGTTTTTGAGACATATCCTCCATCCATATTACAAGAGCCTTTTCCATTTTTTGCTTCACAATGTCTCTTGTGTATGATGTTGTATGAGCACTTAATTTTGTCCCAACAATTACAGATTTTCTAATCGCGTCCTCATTTTTTTTTATAGTTCTTACGGTGGATTCTCTTAAACCGAAACATTGCCCTACAGTGGTGACACTATCTCCATTAGCTAAATTATCTAAAATTTTAATTTAAACTTCCAAAGAAATAGCTTTTCTTTTTGTTTGTTTTGTAGCTGACATTGTGATTAGATCGGCTATAAAAATTTAATTATTTATACGTAATAAGTAAGTAAAGAATAAATGTATCAAAAAATATTTTATTTAATATTGTATTCGATTTTGTTACTCACCTTAAACATTGAAGCCAAACTGTAAACTCGTAATTATTTTAACCAAAACAGATGTGAGATGATATAAAATTAGGGAAATCCCCTGTAACTATTGATGCGCTCGCGCAATCAGGGAGTATCGATTCTCGCACAATCATATACCTTTCAAGCGCTTTCACATACTTGCACGTACACGAAATTTTAGTTCCAAAATTATTCTAGATTAAAATTTCTTGCATCGCGTTAAATCAAATTAAATCGCGTAAAAAAAGAATAAAATATATTTTATTAATCGCGTTATATCAAATTCGCGTAAAAAATGTTCGCGTAAAAACAGAATTAGGTGTATTATACAACAAGACGATCGAAAATACTCGATAATACGAGACGTATTGCCTGAAACACTACGAGACAGGTGATTATCGATTGTTTTTTAATAAAACTTTTTTTTCTTTGAGATACCCCGTCGGGTTTGAGCTCATTTTAAAGTATTTTTAATTTGTTACACGAAAAAATTGATTCTAAAATAGAATCATTTGATTAATGAAAATGTTTACGTTCAACAATCATTCTTAATTAACGTTTTATCTCGAATGTCATTAATGTAAGTTTTTATTTCATAAGTTTTCCTGTAACATGCTCAGATTCCCCGGTGTTACCATAAACAGGTTGAAAAAACAACGAATTCATCATATTTTCGTATTTTTCTCGATATCTATACGTCTGAAAGCAGTTTTCCTTCAATTTTTCTTCAAGATTCTTTCGAATCTTCAAATTTCGGTATTGTTTCGAATTTTTTGAATGGAACTTTTGCATAAACGATTTAAATTAAAACCAATATTTTAGTTAACAAATTAGTGAGAGAGGACTCACAAGAATAAAAAATCAACGTAATTAATGATAATTTTTATTTTTTTATAATATTTTTATGAAATGCTGAACAAAATAACAAACGTTAGAATAAACATAAATCATTGCCAAAGTAGTTTTTCTTAATTTTCATAAATCAATTCGCTCTCGGCCGCACCACGCGATTATTATGCTTAATCAAACAATCTTGCACCCTCATATTCGGCGTTAAAAACTGTTGTAGAGTGTTAACCCCGTCGCGCGGCATCCGATCGAAAGGGTACCCCATGGATCGCTTATCCGGGTATTTCCGGTCTTTGATTCCACAAAAACTCATCGCGTCGTTGCATTGACCAGTTGTTGATTCATTTACCTATTATTACAAACAAAGAAGGTATAAGAAGAAATGGTTAAAATAAAATCAAAAGGAAAAAATACCGTGTCGTCTTGGAAGTTGGAAATCATAACGAAAAGTTGACATTGAAGTCCGTCCGCGGTTCCTTTCGGAATCAACATGTGCTGGGGCCACCCGCAACCGCAAAAATTGAATTGGGCCAATTGATCACCTCCAACCGGGCGAGTCAAGTCTAAATTCCGGAACGTTCGTTCAAACGGAATTGTAACCGATGATTCATTTGAATTGCGCCTAATCGTGTTCTCTCCCTGTTGAACTAATCATAAGAAAAATATAATCAGACGAAAGTTTAATTAATTAACTATTTACGTGTAACAACAAAGCGATCCAACTCGATAAACATTAACCGTTGGTCTCTGAAGAGCCAGGGGTTCTTGCGTTCATCGAACTTCGGTCCGAGGAAAATGCGACAAGTTCCCATGCGGTTAGCACCGCTTGAGTTGTTTACGGTGATGTTGTAAGTAAAGGGTTGGTGTTGTAAATGGGTGAAACGCGCGAAAACGGATCCGCGGGGTTGGAAGTCCATTCCGCGTGAAAAATCTACGTCGGATTGTTGCCAAAACGTTGAGAAATTGTTCGCGGTTCCTCCTTGAGGGTTTACGGCAACTCCGGTTACGGTTACGCCGGGATAATCCAACTAAAAAAAATTGTTTTCATTAATTTTTGCTTCAGATATATGAACCTATATGAACCTGTTGAGTTGTATATCTGGGTAAAGTGGATTTATGTTCTTGGAAAATGTCATCGATGTATGCGTGCCAACGGTAGAAAATTGGATCTCTCATAGCTGTCGAGGAGTCACCCATAACGCCAAAAGATTCCTTGAGACACAAAACATAAACAACAACAAAATTTATTTTATTAATTAATCATTTACAAGATGTCGATGATCCGGGTCGTGAGCATACGAAATGAAAACGTGCCCCATATTGTGAAGATCCCCATAAAGAGTCCTATTCGGCGATAAAATACTTGACTCAACCATATTTCCCAAAATATCGATCCCTTCCGTTTCCGTTAGCATTTGAGTGCTTCCATCCTCTCTTTGAACCCTCCCGGAATGAATCGCCTCGAAAATCCTATCCCTCCACCGATACAAATCATCCACATCCTGTTGGATTTGATCCTGCTCGCGATTTAAGTCCTTAATCGATTGATTTTCAACGCGAGCTGGCCACGCTCGCGACGCCACCAAGCTATCCAATTTCGGGAAATAAGCCTCTTTAATCGGTTCTTTCCATTCGTTCCAACGCGTTACGCGCCCCATATTATTCGAGAACCGCTCCAAATTAAATCGGGCGATCACCTGTTGATGCATGTAGTAGAAAAGTTCTCCTCTCCGGTCTTTATTGACGACTTCCATCGCGCCTTCGAAGGGGTACACTAAATGCCAATGCCAATGATGCAAGTTGATGCCAAGATCTTCGCGGAAATAAGCTAGGCGGTGTTCTTCTTCTAAATCAGAAGCTGTGTAATCGCGTGGGATTTCAATTGGCATCTAAATTATTAAAATTATTAATTCTTTTTTATATCAAAGACGTTACAATATTATTGAGGTTATAATCGCGATATCAAAACGAGGTTTTCTGCGTTAGATTCGCTGATTAATTCTGAATAATTCAGCAAAATTTAGTTTTTTCATCTCTAATCATTACTGAGAAATAAATTGTTTAAAACAAGACATCAAATTAAAACGGATTTTTTTTTAGGTTATCTTTATGAATTAATTTCTCGAGAACAAATCGACATAACAAAAAGCGATTTGCGGCATTAAATTCGCGATTTAATTCTAAATAAATCCCCCAAATTTAGTTTCTCTATCTCTAATAATGAGTTAGAAATAAATTGTTGAAATCAATGTTGCAGCAAAACGTCAAATGAAATAGCAACCTTTTTACGTTATCTTTATGAACCTATGTATCTCAAGAACTAATCGAGATATCAAAGAACCGTTTTCTGCGTTAGATTTGTTGCTTAATTCTGAATATGTCAACAAGGTTTCTCCATCTTCAATAATTAGGGAGTAATAAATTTCTTAAAATAAGCTTACAACGAAACGTCAATTCGAAGAGAATTTTTTAAGTTATCTTTATGAATTAATTTCTCAAGAACCGATCAAGATATCAAAAAGCGGTTTTATGTGTTAAATTCGCTGATTAATTGTGAATAAGTCAGCAAAACTTAATTTCTCCATCTTTAATAATTACCGAGGAACATTTATATTAAACAAGACATCAATTTTTTTGACCATTGATGTTATGAGTTATGACTTTTTGAATGACAAGTTAATAACATCCATTGTATTGTTACCAACTTTTCAATAATTTGACAAGAATGAGGTTAATATTAATTCAAAAATTCATACCCTGGCTGCATCGGGGACGATGCTGACTTCTTCGCGAGCCTGTTGGAAAACTTGGCCATCCAAAAACTTATCGGGAAATGATTGTACGAATGCCGGAAGATCTAAATCTTGAGTGTCGGGACGATGTAAAATTGCCACCGAGAGACAGTAATTGAAAAGGTAAGGGTTAACTCTGTCTCGAGCGTAAACTGCCATTGATTGAAGATCATCGATGGTTTTCATTCCTAAGAAGATGTTGATTAATCTCCCAGCGATTCTTCTATGTTTCGGGATGAATAAAGAAAAGTTAGCTTGTCTAGGTAAATCTAAGATTTCCCCCAAATTTGGAACGGAAATTTTTTTCAGTGGAATTTTCTCCGCTGTATCTTCGCCGAATCTGTTTGCAAGCTGAACCCCGATTCCTTGGTACTTAGGTGGCTAACCCAAAGGAAGATTTTAATTTTTTAATTTTAATTAATTTAATTTTATTACCAATAAATCCTGTTGAACATCGAAAGCTTTGCGTTCGGGCCCTTTTGGAACGAAAGATGGCTCCAAAGGGCGGTCGTACAAGAGAAGAAGGTTATTTTTGTTGGCCATCGCGAAACTTCTTGCTGGTATTCACTTCACTACGAACGATTTCAAGTGAATAATAAAAAAATAATTCGTTCTCTTTATATAATCAGGTTGAGTTACGCGGTTAAGAGGCGAAACCTCAAAAAATATTTTGCCTTGATTTGGTGGGAAAACAGGATGAGGTTAATTGATATCACAATAAAAAAAATAAAGTTATTTTTCTAAGAAATTGGATTAAACCACCACTTCTTATCAGGTGATTTTTTTTTAATTTAAAAATCGTAGCTCAAGAACGAATTGAAATATCATCATGAAATAAAAATCAGTTTCAAGAAAATTATTTAAAGCTTAAGCTTTTAAGCTTAATTATTGAAAGCAATAATTACACTTTGAAGAATTTACGCAAAGAGCAGGTTAAAGTGCAAATAAATAACTCTGATGATTCTTCAGCTACCATAAAAGCCCTAACTGAAAAAGGAACCAAATATCATACGTACCAAGCATACCATACATACCACTCAAGCAAAATCGTCTAGTAATTCGCCCTTTCTCTGACATTAACGATATTAAAACTGCGATTAAGGCCCTTGAACATAAAGTTAATAGCAGTTTGACTCTTTTTGATGACTATGGTCGTAGAACTATAGTTAATAGAAAGTTTCTGGACACATTTTGATATCTTTAGAATCCCCTAGGAATAAATTGAAAAGACAAAAAGAACTAATCTTTTGCTCCACAATGATGTTTATTTTATTTCAATTTTCAATCTGTACTACATGTGTTTCGCTGTTTTCATAAAAGCGTCATCAGGTACATCGTCAGTTACATCGGGAGACGTTTAAACACTTTTTGATAATTATTGATAATATTAGAAAGCTTCTAGACAGATTTTCACTACTATAGAGATCATTAGAAACGTTTTACACACTTTTTGACGACTATAGATACCATTACACACCTTCTGGACAATTTTTGACATCTATAGAAATAATTAGAAAGCTTCTGGACACTTTTTGACATCTTTAGAAACCACTAGAAATCTTAATAAATGTCCGGATAGCAGTTAGACTCTTATTAATGATTATGGAAGTCAATAGAAAGCTTCTGGACACTTTTGACATCTTTAGAACCCCTAGAAATCTTAATCAATGCCCAGAAAGCATTTAGATACTTTTTGCTGTTAAGGAAAATCGCTAGAAAAGTTCTGGACCCTTTTTGACATCAACAAAAATCCTCCATCAATAGAGATAAACGTCTAGGAGGCGTTTAAACACATTTTGATAATTATTGATAACATTAGAAAGCTTCTAGACAGTCTTTGACTACTATAGAGATCATTAGAAACCAGAATGCCATTAGACACCTTCTGGACACTTTTTGACAACTATTCATTTTAAAAGTGTTCGAAAAGCTCTTATTGAAGAGACTTCAGAACATCATAGTAAACAAAAAGTCAATGCCTAATTATCAATTTGGGTTTAGAAAACAATAAATATTGATTAATCTTTACATATCTCAAATACTGACCGCCTGGATATTTTTGAATTTTTTGGATTATAAATTAATGTTTTTTTGGAGGGAAAATCCCGTTTTAAAAATCTCTTTATTCCTTATAATAAAATTTTCTGAGCATAATTGAATTGTTAACCTTAAAATAATTGTGTCAAAATATTGACGTTTAAAATGACGTTAAAAGATTATGAAAATGTTTTATATGAAAAAAGATGATAATAACTCCTAATTGCACTTTCAGGATATCAATATTATTAGTTTTTCTAAATCTTGTAAGTTGTTAAAATAAAAATAAACAATAAAAATTTAAAACCCTTCACTTTTTATGATAGGTGTGTATTTGCAATGCGGACAAATTCAAAATAATTAATCTAAACCCGTTAAAAGCTGAGATAAAAGAAAATCTTTATCCGATTCCACCAATGCCATCAAATACCGACAGTATTTTTGGATTTAAGGTGACAATGAATGTAAAAACCAAACACTTTCATATTTTTTTAAAGCCTTTTTATTAGTTTTGGACAGAGTTTAATAAAGCTTTTGGAATTACGAATAAATTTAGACTGAAAAATAACCAAACCAGGCAAAATTTAATAGAGCCGAGTTTAGATAAAATGTATTTGGGTTGGAGGAATTTAAAACAGAAATTAAACCATTTAAAAGGTATTTAATGTAATTATCTTATTTTAATAAATACTTGGCTTAATTTTCTTTGTATTTTTAGGTGATGTAAGGGATTCAGCAACTGATGTCATCAATAAACTAAAACCAAAGAAGGTATTCAACAACGCAGATGAAATGAAATCAAAAAAGAAACCACCTGAATGTTCTTAGTCTTATTTCCGTGATAAAATAAAATATTTTAATGAAAAAATAACTATAACAAAAAAGATTACATTAATTTCACCTTCCCCGATAAGTTTCCGTTGGAAAAAAACGAAATTACCACTTCCGCTAACCACAAAACAACAAATCCATCTTTATTTTTCAATCTTAATCTACCACAACGTATACATTTTTAGTATAAAAACCCAAAGAAATCGAATAATACTTAGTGATCATTTAAAATGGCAACCGACAAGCTTCTTTTGTTGTTTGATAAACCGTTAGAACCAAGCTTCGCCAAGAAGGGTGGCAACAAGACCATCGAAGTACCCGTTGATTACTTGGTAACTAAATTATCCAATAATTAATTAATTAATTAAGATTATTGTTATTGTAATGCATAGACCGATCGTTATAAAGAAATAGCACCTACTTTGGCGAATAGAATTGGCGAGGACTCTGATGAAATCGTTCAAGTCAACCAGGTACCTCATCCGGACCTTAAGGAAGTCTTGGAGTTGGGGAGAAGAGAGAATTTCTCGTTGTTTTTGCCAAAACATAAAGCAATGGCTGCGAAACTGATCGATATCTTCTTAAGTAAGTTATTATTATTATTTTCAAATTTAAATCTAAATATTTTATCTCAGTAGTACCAACCTTGTTTTGGTTAACAAAACGGTAATAAAAAAATTATACTTAAAAAACAATAATTTTTAGTAATTAAATTTAACGCAAATAAACCTCAACACTTTAACTTAAGTAATAAGATAATTTATGTATGTATAAAAACATTAAAAATGATTTATTTGAAACATCAGTGATACCAACTTCATTGTTTTAAGCGTCATCTTAACTTAACCTCAAAATCATCGAAAATTTAATTTCAATAATAATTGTAATTTAGTAACAAAAATGAGTTCAATTAATATCGTTGATAACCATCAGCAACAACGACTAATGGAAATGTGTGTAAATGCATTAAAAATTTGCGCGAAAACTGTAAATGAAAATTTGGAAGGTGACGAAAAAGATAATTTTTTGTCTGAGTTAGAAGATGATTGTTGTCATTACATAATGGAAGATATTAAGAATAAATGCTGTAAACAAGCTTTATCATTAACGATACCAGAAATGGAATCCCAAGAAAACGAAGGATTTGATATCAATAATTTTTACGATAAAGCCTTTAATGATTTAATTGGTACAACTAAAACGAATTTTAATGAGCACGATTTTATGAAAGATTTTCGAAGGACTGTGGGTGATACAAGGAAAAGAATAGAAATTGATGAAAGCTTAATTGACGCTACTCAATTTCACGTTCCCGTTGACCCAATTACAAAGCTTTCAATACGAAATCCTTGGAGAAATAAAATTTGCCAACATATTTTCGATAAAGATACTATTTACAGTTATTTGGACTCGAAAAAATCGATTAAATGCCCTTACATTGGGTGTACAAATACAAAGTTGTGCCTAAATGATATGGTTTTGGATCAAGAATTATTACAAAAAATATTGAATAGTTCCGGAAATGTTTCTAACTTGAATGATACCGCAAATACTATTAATGTTGAATAATAAATTACTCTAAATCGTTTTAGTTTTTAATTTAATGTAAAATGTTGTTTCATTTTGCAGAGGCTAAAAATGTGGATGAATTTTTTTCACTTGCTGTTTATAGTAGGGAAAGAGTTAATCCTTATTTATTCATTTACGCCTATTCGGTTGCAATTCTTCATCGAAAGGATACAAAACACATCAAAATACCGAATAACATTCAAACTTTCCCCGATAAATTCTTCGATAGTAAAGTATTTGGAGAAGTTCGTGAAAGCGCTGCCATCGTTCCTCAAGGATCTAGGGTAAGCAATCTATTTACGTTTCATCCTTCGAGCTATAAATTTTAATAAGGTATTTAAATAAAATAATTTTATTTTATAACCTAACTTTTAAATTTGAATTGTGGATTGGGTCAAAAAAAAATTTTTGAGGTTATGCTTAATGTAATTAAATTACAATTACTTTTTAAATTTTTATTAAAAAAAAAACAGAATAAACCTCCTTATCATTATTATTGAATTAATAGATTAATCTTTGAATTAAATTAAAAGTTTTGTAATAAAAAACTAAATTTTTAATTTCAGTTGAATTTAATTTCATAACCTAACTATCTTAAAATTTTAATTGTCAAAAAAAATTTTGATGAGGTTGTGTTTAATGATTATCTTTATGTTTTGATTATTATTGAAAATAATTATAAAATTATCATTATCATTGAATAAATAAATTAATATTGAATTAAATTAAAAATTTCGTAATAGAAAACTAAATAATGTTCAATTTCAAGTTGAATTTAGGTTATGTATTAATTTTATTTTAATATAGAATTTATTATTCGTTGTAATTTCAGATTCCGATTGAAATGCCATTAGATTACACCGCGAGCGATTTAGAACTTGAACATCGCCTCGCTTATTGGCGCGAAGATTTAGGTTTGAACTTGCATCATTGGCACTGGCACTTGGTGTATCCGGGTAGTGGACCACCCGAAGTCGTCCGTAAAGACCGACGGGGAGAATTATTTTATTACATGCATCAACAAATTATTGGGCGCTACAACGTGGAGAGATTATGTAATAATATGAGGCGAGTTGAGAGGTTGACCGATTGGCAAACGGGGTTGAACGAGGCTTATTTCCCGAAGATTGATAGTTTAGTAGCGAGCAGAGCTTATCCGGCTAGGGTTAAAGATCAAAAAATGCGCGATGTTAATCGTCGCGAATTGAATGTGGATGTTGAGGATATCGTTCGTTGGAGGGATAGGATGTATCAAGCCATTGATCAAGGTTATGTTACCAATGTCAGTTTGATGTTAAAAAAAAATAACCTAACTTTTAATAAAAATTTCTTTAATTAGACTCAGGGACAACGAGTTAATCTAACCGAATTCGAAGGGATAGATATTTTGGGTGATATGATGGAACCGAGTGATTTATCACCGAATCCTCAGCTTTACGGCTCATTACACGGAATGGGGCACATGATTATCGCTTACATTCACGATCCTCAAGGGAAACATTTAGAACCATTCACTGTAATGGGTGATTTTAACACTGCAATGAGAGATCCAATTTTTTATAGGTGGCATGCGTTCGTCGACGATGTTTTCCAACGGTTTAAAGGAACCATTCCGAGGTATACTCGAGAACAGGTAATAATAATAATAATAAATGGAGTCGTAAAATCGTGATAAACATTTGTTTTCAGTTGGATTTTCCAAATGTTTCCGTTACTGATATGAATGTAAAAACGCCGAGTGGGTCAACGAATCAATTGAACACGTTTTGGCAACAATCCGATGTTGATTTTTCGAATGGGGTCGATTTTATTGGAAGCGGCTCCGTTTTTGTTCGATTTACCCATTTGCAACATGAACCTTTTACTTATAATATCACAGTGAACAACACGACCGGTTCAAACCGAATGGGAACTTGTAGAATTTTCCTCGGCCCAAAAACCGATGAAAGAGGAAATCCGTTGCTTTTAAATAATCAACGATTAATGTTTATGGAAATGGATAGATTTACCGTTAATTGTAAGTTGTAAGTTAAAACAGTTTCGAATCAAATTGATTTTGTTATTATTTTCCAGTAAAACAAGGTCAATCAACAATCGTTCGTAACTCAACTCAATCCTCAGTAACAATCCCATTTGAAAATTCATTCCGAGATTTAAATCGCCCAGCCGGTGTAAGTCAAGATCAATTCAATTTTTGCGGATGCGGTTGGCCTCATCACCTTTTAGTACCAAAGGGAAAACCGGAAGGGTACCCAATGCAATTATTCGTGATGATTTCCGATTACGAACAGGATAAAGTCGACCAACCGGCGACGGATGACGCTGTGGAATGCGATGACGCTTCAAGTTATTGCGGCTTGAGGAATAAGAAGTACCCCGACAAACGTTCGATGGGTTATCCATTCGATCGCGTTCCAAGACAAGGTGCGGAAACATTACCAAAATTCCTCACACCAAATATGCGCGTGCAAGATGTTTTGATTAATCATGCTAATCGAACCGTTCGCCCTAGATCGAATAATTAACTGTCAATTTGATTGATTTGAAATATTGTTTGGATTTATTACTGGATTATGAATATGGAATATAATATATTATATTATACATAATTATGCTGTTTTATTAAAATTTATTTCATTCCATTTTGAAACAAAAACTAGATAATCTTTATTTTCAAGTAAAATTTGGGTTATGTATCTATTTTCTTCATTCTTTAACGTCACAGAACAGTAGTGTAGTTTAATGTGCATTTAAAGCGCGTACACACCGGCCGAACGAATGAGGTTTGCTAGCCTTTGTTGGCTCCGTTGCTCTACATGATGCTGTAATATCCTTCCTTATTGTTGGGTTTTGGTTAATGGTTATACTCAAAAGAACTTTCTATTAATTAACGTGAACAATTATTGTAACGTTATGACGACGTTGCAGTGTCATATCGTAGAGTCCTATTACAATTAATTACTCTATTGTTATGGTAAACTTACTGCTAACGTGTCACAACATACCTAGTCATGTTTGTTGTAAAATCTTATTAAATAGCCTTATTACTCCTAACCATAGTAAATAGATTATAATCTATATACTATGTCCTAACCTACTTAATATTAATAACATTTATTTAACTTAACAATTAGTCATACCTTCCAATGCTACCAACACTCGCTCCAACGTTGGACCGAACGTTTGTAACAAGTTCGACAGTTGGTGTGACGAATGTTCCTGCTACACGGTGAATCGAATGTTCGACCAAATACATAATGTAGGTAAACAGTTTGGTACAAATGTTGGTGCAGTTTTAAAAATGGACGAGCAAGATGATGATGTTGCTATTGCTAGCGTTACTGTGGTTGTTTTGTCTTGCAAGGCATTACTTGAAAAAAATAGAATGATAAAATAGTATATTAAAAAACAAGTTTCGTAAGACACGTTTGAAATGCACGATTGAAAAACGGGTGGAGAAGCCACGAGTTTTTTTTGTAATAACTATTTTTTGTAATTCGCGTTTTTATCCGTTTTTTCTTCTCAAAAATAAAATAAATTTTGACAATATAGGGAAATAGGTATGTAGCAGTTGGTAATACCGTAACACTTGAAAATAGAAATTTGAGTTGACAATAAGAACCTGTCAAAACACAAAATGTATTCACCTGACAAAAATGTTTCATGTACACCTCCCAAAATAAGAGAAATTGCTCAGAGTTCAATGTCTTCATCATTGTGGACCTTATATTCGATGCTAAGAACGTGTTTAAACATCCATAGACAAAAATTGTCACATTGACAACTAGAAAAATTAATGACCCAATGTCACCAACTTGAACTGGTTCCATAAAATGTTACTAAAATCTCATTACAGCATCGGATGCTGTAAA